AACTCTAAAGTCCTCAGCAACTACTGTGATCTAAATAAAAGACTGTTATGGATAGGAATAATTTGCAGAAATGATTAAGAAGTCAAGTTGAGAACCACAAGCTACAGGAGCAGGCATTGATAATCATATAAATACATAAAGCATGCATTGATTTTTAGGTAGCTGTATGATTCTTAGAGGCTCTATGTGCTTAATCAAGAACCTGGTGAGAGCTTCTAATGTTGCTAAAATGATTTTTTTTGTTCTGGATTTTATTGCAAAAATAGAGTCATTAGCACTTAGGAAAGGTGGCTTTTCTCCAGGGTGTGCTTCAAGAGCAGCTCTTTCATGGACTAATAAGCACTGGTTCTCTTTAAAGATGGCTCAGAAGGGATGGGAGGAAGAAATGGCTGTAATTCCTCCAATTGCCCGTCTGCGATAAATGAATCATGTGCAAGATACTGGCATAAAAATAATCCTTCCTTCCCCTGTAATCCAAACTTGCTTCTATGTTGTTTTCTTGACAAGCTGGAGAACATTAATGGATGGATCTGGTCCTTACTAATTCAAAAAAAAAGAAAAACAAAAGCAGAAAAACATGGCTGGGGAATCCAGAAGATAGAAATTCAGAGTGGAGGTTTGGAGGGCATCATGGCTAGCAAGGAAAATGTAAGATCTGGATCTTTGCCTAAATAGAGATGGGATCCTGATTCTTTTCAAGAAAGTCTCCTGGCTTTTCTCAGAAGATTATTTTTTTTACTACTAATTGGAGGTAATGAGAATGTAAAAAACAAAACAAACAAAAAGAAAATGTCTGGTGTTTATCAGACATTTTCTGTTAAATGGCTCTCTATGGTTAAGCAGACTAAATGAAAATATTTTCCTCGTAGTCAGGTTTTTTTACATTTAATGAGATTTGCCAGCTTTCCTGAATTTAATATTGCTCAGGAAAAAGATTTACCAGTTTTCCTGGAAAAATGCTGAGCTCTTCAACGAAGCCTGAACTTTCAGAAGAACCTTTTTCAAGCTGCCTTCATCTATCATAAATTAAAAGGGCACAAGACCAGTCTGTCACCTTCAATAGTTATTTTTGATTCCCCTTTAAAAATGGTGTGCACTGCTGACAGTTTATTACTATCTTTCCATTTCTTTAAAATTGTTGATGAATCATTGTTTGCAACAGGCATAGTGAAGCATTTTAAAGTGATCAGCTATGAGGTTATACGAGTATCAGCTAAAACAGTCCTAATCTCCTAATTTTATCTATTAGCGGGTACTGTGGGACCAGCTGACATTGAAGTGTCAGCCTCCCAGCTCAAAGGTGAACTCCAGGAAAAAAGTCTATTGGATTTTAATAAAACTTTCCTCAAAGGTCAGTGTCTCTAAGGTATAAAATCAATCTTCTTTCCTTCCTTCTTTCTCAGTCTGTTTTCTCATTACTATAGTCAATTCTGATAGTCTTGAACAATTTCCTATTTCCTTTTTTTCCCTCTTCACTCTTATTGCAGCATCTATCTATCTATGGTCATTATTTTACCCGACACTGTTATTTGGATTCCTTTCTTCCCATTTCAACACTTCCTCCTGGAAGGTGGTTTAAAGTTTGAGAACCTGTGGTATCAAGTCATTACAAAAATACCTGAGGTTCCTCCTGGTTTTATTTCTCCCTCCTACCTGCTGCTACACTCTGTGCCTTGCCCAGCACTCAGTTAAAAATTGCCAAGTGATAACCTTAGTACCATGGCACTTTGCAGAAAACGCTGCCCTTCTAAACTCTGTGTCCTTGTCGAGCAGTCTCTTTTACTTTTATTTGCCCAGGAAAATAATATAAAACTTTTTTTTTTTTTAAAGAAAAAGAATCACTGATGTCTAAGAAAATAGCTGCACAGAGCTGAGGATACCCAGCCCTAGACTCAAGCTGCTATTTGAGTTTTCCAGGACTCAGTTCCTCCACGTCCTGCCCTGCAGAGCAAACCCTGGCACCGCCTGGGTGCCCGGAGCCACCCAGCAGCTGGCAGCAAGTGCCAGGGACTGTTTGCCCTGTGGGTAAGAGGCTGCAAAGCGGAGCTTGCAACGCTCGCATCCTGCTCCGTGCACTTGTACACGGGCATAGACACCTGCGCAGAGCCAGGCAGCTGCTTCCCCACTGCTTAGATGGGGAAAAGGAGGATTTTTTTTGCAGGGAACGTGTCCGTACGTTACCAGGAAGCCCATGAGCACTGGGGTGGTTGCTAACTGGGAGCTGAACATGATAAGAACATGGCAAAGGTTTGGATGGCTCCCTGAATCCTTACGGAACCCTGGAAAGCCCTATCAGGAAAGATGAGAATATATAAAATACAAAGAATAGATATATAGTTCTCTTTTAAGATTAATATTTCAGTTGAAGAGAGTTGGCAACACGAGTAGAAATTTTGCTGCTGGAGTTGTTATTTTGTCCTGATTGTATTTTTAAAGATTTTTTTTTTCTACAGGGAGAGGCAGACGTTTTGTTACTGCTGTGTATTAATCAAAAGGACTGAAAAATATTGCAGGCCCCATTCTGGCTTCTTTGCGGACTTAAAAGTCAGTTGAGGTTTTAAGGATGGAAATGATATTAGATGAGACTCTGTGCTTTTACGCGCTAGAAATTTAACATTAATACAGTTTGAGCTGGTACTTTTGATGTGTTACACATGGGAGACACTTATCGGTGCACTTTAAAAGTCAGAATGCTGTTTTTGAGCAAATGAGGATAAACTAAAACTTTCATTGGGCCTTCAGAAGTGAGCTTCATTCTTGCTGATCTGAAGAGATTTTTCTTAGGGCAATAACCCGCCTTAACACAGAATCTCAGATTTTTTTTCAGTTGCATGCAATAGTAGCATTACTGCATTAGAAGTTTCCTTTACATAAGCCATAAAAGGCACACCAAAATATTTTAGAGCTTTAAAGGATCCCACAGCAGCCTTAATTAAAAATATATTTGCTTTGTATATTTAATTCAGCCCCTAATGCTTTTCATGCAGTGTTCAAGTCAGTTAAAAGAAAACCTCTGCTTTTATAACCTTTATTTTTTTTTTTACCAACTCAGCACCACAGTCATTTCATTTTTGAAGTTACTTCTAAATCTCATGAAAAAATTCATCCATGGAGGTGTGTGATTGCTGCCCTTCAAAGGGAAACCTGCTGCTACCCCTCTCAGTGCGGGACTCGGAGCAGAGCAGCATGTTCAGCTCTTTAGTCAAACACCTGATATCAGCCAGTTCGTTCAATGTTTGTTGTACGAGGAGATTTCTAATTTTAAAAAGTCATATGTGTCTCTTGGCCCTTATTTGTTTCAACAGTTAGTTTGCGTTTTCTCTAAATGTGTGGTACGAGTAATGGCGACTTTTAAAAGCAGGGAATCCAAGGTCTTCCTATGGATCCTTGGCTGGGTGACAGTTCTCAGCGCTGGTCTCCGTGTTGCCAAGGTTTATAATTTTATAATCCTCACCACACTTCAGTTCCTTAAACTTTTAGCTTTGGGGGCATGGTGATGATAGGAGTTCATTTTTATTGGAAAAAAATGCGTGTTAAGGTTAGAAATGAGTGGAAAACACGAGGAAAAATTATTTTACCTCTCCATTATGATTTTTAAGTTATCTATGTTTGCAATACAGTAATTCTAGGCACACTGGTGTTAACACTCTGAACAAAACCACAGGTTTTACCATGAATAAGGCCTTCTAATAAAGAACATTGTTGGGGTGGAAAATGCCCCGGATTACACCCTATTACACCCTTGTCCTGCGTTTCCTCAGCCCTTGGGGCCCCAGGGCCTCCTGCCCAGTGCCACAGGCAGCCTGAGCTCCCGAGGGTTAAAGTCCTGCTATTTTCTTCCGCCTGGTATTTCCAAATCTCTCCTGGGGCCCATGTGGCGCTTATGCCAAAACTCTTTATTATTATACAAACACAGTGTAAGAGTAGGAGGAGGGGAAGAGGAGAGAGGGGAAAAAAATATAATAATAAAACCCTAAAAAGGCCTGTGTTCGCCTGTGTTTTGTCCCGCAGCGGCGCGGCACGGAGCTAACCCCACCACCTCGCCACTATTAATACCCACGAGGGATATTTAAGGGGCGAAGTGGCCGCGCGGCGCCCAGTGGCGTCGCCGTTATTTCCGTGAGGGCCGCGAGGAGCCGCCGGGAGGCCCGGGCGGACTGAGGTCCCCCGCGCACGGCGCGTGTTTTTCCACAGCGCCGCTGAGGCCACGGCTGCGCCGCTCGCCCCCCTTGGCCATCCCCGATAACTTTATTATTTTTTATTCACTCCCCCAAAACCGGGCTCTGACGTCGGCCTCCTCGATACCGAGTGACCAATCAGGCGCTTCCTGAGGCGGGAAGG